GACTACCATCACCGCCAATAAGCTGCTTCAGGTTCTGCTAATTAGGGTTCAACCAATCCTGTCCCATCTTCCATCTTCGTAATACCCTCCTCTGTTACCTACCTTTGTCTGATGTAAATTCTTTCAGAAAAACTTACATATATTGTAATTACCAGTACAAAAGATACTAGCCTTTTCAACGTAGTAGACATGTTGTCATTTCCATCTGGCCAGGCTGCTGCTGGGTCTGATTTCCTGTCCCAGGGTTTGACCTTTATTTTGTGATTACTTTGTAGGACCAATACATTTAGTTTTAGTTACAGCTTTTATTTTGAAGTTACACTTTTTCATTTGACCAGGGTAAATTTTAGAACTTGCATTTTCTTCGGGAAGAACCACTGGCTACTGAGGAAGGTATATAGGATTTTGTTTTTCCAAGAACCTCCTTTGAACATTTGGGCCACGCCCCTATTTTTCTTCCTTCATGTCTACTTAGAATTCAGTTCTCTTTTGTCTACTGTATTTTCCATCCATATATTCATTTCTTAACCCCTTCAAACCCTAAAGGGAACTTCAGTAAAACCTGAGTTCTTTCAGCTCTCTTTTGAGTCCCTTACTACTATTGCTATAGTTTAACCGTACAGTTTTAGTCTTCATTGCATCTAAGAGCTTTGTCTCTCCCCAAGCGACCTCATCAGTCATGGCGAGCACAGACTCATGCCTGACACATCATACCAATGCCAAATTAGACTATGAAGTTACAACAGAAAGTACTAGAGTGTGGTAACGCAGGCTTCAAGAAATGATGGAGCAGTCTTAAGGGTCAGTGCTTGCTTATTCTGAGAGCCAGTTACTCTGCTTTCCTACACTGGCCTTGATTGTTTGAAGCAGTAATAGCGGCCTTCTTTTTTCCAGGTTCCGATGGAGGAGGCGGTTACTGGTGATCTCTGCCCCTAACGATGAAGACTGGGCCTATTCACAGCAGCTCTCTGCCCTCAGTGGTCAGGCATGCAATTTTGGTGAGTGGGAAGTCACTTCATTACAGATTTTCCATACTGGTCTCTTCTGGGTCAATTCTAAAATGGAACATAGAAGCTATATCATCCAACTATCCCCCAGTTCAGACTGTAGATTGCCACCTACATATTCTTATATAATATATAAAGTTGCTTTCAAACTGGAGCTTTAGTCAACTGTGCATCTTTGGTCAATATTCTCCCTTCTCAGGTTCTTCACTGAAGTGTTTGAAAATAACTGCTGCTTTAGTTTTACTGATATGTAATTTTTTTTTTTGTTTCTTCAAACTTGTCTCAAAATCATTTATTTAAGGAACCAGCAGTTAGCATAATGGCTATGTCGCTGGACTACCATATAGTCAACCATGGTTCGCGTCTCGGACCCGATGGGTTAAAACTCAAGCCGGGCGTGTGTGCGTGCGTGCCCAAGATCCTGAGAGGAGAAGGGACTGCAGCGTGACCATCCCCCCTGGGGGGTGATTTCTCGCTTTCTGTCTCTCTCTCTGTCTGGCGAGCACACGCGCCCTATAGCAAAAAAACCTCTCCAAAAAAAAAAAAAAAAAGTTTTCTCCCTGAACAATAAACAGTATCAAAATTTTATTATTAGTTCCAAGTTATCACTCTGATTAAGCTGGGATTTTCCTTAAAGTCAGGAGATCTTGGTATGATGACTTGACAGCCCTCTTGTACTTCTGTTTTTTCTCTTCTGACTCCTTTCATGTATACTTTATCATCAAAAGAATTCCAACAAGCTACCAAGGCATGACCTTCCCTCCTTTTCTGAAATTTTAGCCTAGGATGTGAAGGCAAGCTGTGCTTGTCTAAGTGTTACCTCTGAAGCCTCTAAATAAGTGAAACTTGCCCTTTAACCAATGAGTTTTTGTGTGAGAAAGCCAGTACCATTTCCTTAATCATAACGGATGGGTCTGCAGGCTCCTTAGAGAAAGTGAAGTTCTCTCTGAAAGCTGTTATAATTTCATTCTTGATATTTTAGAACACTAGTAAGCTTAGACCATCTCAGATATTTTAATGTTGCAATGACTTCTTCTCTTTTTCTTTTTCTTTTCCTCTTTCTTTCTTTTTGTCATTTAATGGAATAAGAGTTACAGTTTAAAACAACTTATTCTATTCCAATCTACAGAAAAAAAATTCTTGTTTGCAAATTCATTATTTTACCTAATTGGATTATATTCTGTATTTTTTTAATCTAAGAGATTTTTATTAGTCAGATATCAGGTATTAGGGAGTAAAAGGTGACTTAAAATGCTTTCCTCTAATCTATGGGTTTCTCTTTTCTCTCAGGCCTCCGCCATATAACCATCCTGAAGCTTTTAGGAGTTGGAGAGGAAGTCGGGGGAGTTTTAGAACTGTTCCCAATTAATGGTAATGTGTTGTTATTCTAAAACAGTATGCACTCGTGTTAAACTCTGTTAAACTGTATTAAGCCATATGTAAGCAGTGAATGTACCTCTAAGGGGAACAAAGTTTATTGCATCCATTCCCCAACCCCACATGGGGGTGTATGTGTATGTATGTGTGCACAGAGTGTGTACAGGGGAAGAGGGCGATGTATAGGACTAATATTGTTTTTAATACAAAATCATTCAAAGTAACAGTAAAAATATTCTTTTTCTTAACCCAAATGATGCTTTTCTTCTGACTGGAGGGGCCTTATAGTTTACAAAGACTTTTCTGTGTTATCTCATTTAATTCTCACAGTAGTTTTAAGCGGTACATAGGTCATATATCACTGATTGTCTTTCAACAGATAAGGACATTACTAAAAGGCTCAGAAAAGCTGTAAGAAAATGACCTCTGTCTGAAGGTTTCAGAAAAGCAAATTCAGGGACCAGCAGTTAGCGTAATGGCTATGTCGCTGGACTCCCATGTAGTCGACCGTGGTTCGCGTCTCAGACCCGGTGACTTAAAATGCATGCCAGGTGCATGTGCGTGAGTGCCCAAGATCCCAAGAGGAGAATGGAGGAGAAGGGATTGCGGCATGGCCATCCCTCCTGGGGGGTGATTTCTCGCTTTCTGTCTCTCTGTCTCTGTCTGGCGAGTGCATGCAAAAAAAAAAAAAAAAACCCTCTCCAAAAATAAAAACAAGAAAATTCAGTCCAAGACCAAGCTCTCTAAATGAGCTGACATGTATTAAATACATAGCACAATGCCAGACAGAACAGAACCCTCCCACCACTCTCCCACCACAAGAAAGTGTCAGCGCTATTTCCCCTTCCTCTTTCAGCTAATCATAAGTATGATGAGTACATTCATCTATATCTTAACATAACTGGTAATTTTCACTTTTGATAATGAAACAAGCTTTCTGTTGCAAAGTCAAGTGTCAAAAAGAAAACTGCAATTGCAAAGAAGCAACTAAGGTAATTAAAGATAAACTTAGAAATAGAGACAATATAATCTCTGGTAGTGATAAATTTTGAAGATGTTGATCTTGCCAGGATTAAATTATGGGACTGGTTTTATATTTGTAGCATTCCTACAGAAGAGACATCATATGCCCCAATGTTTGATGCAGAACAGCTGGGTCTAGTAGAAAAGAAAACCAGCAAACTTCTTTAATTGGATTGTGAGCTAAAGAGGACAGGCTCATAGGTCCTCTCTCTTCTAGTGATTTCCTCTCACTTTAATGTCTTCATGAGCCCTGACTTTTTAATCCACTAACGAGTATTCTGATACTATTCTAGGGAGTTCTGTTGTTGAGCGAGAAGACATACCGGCACACTTGGTGAAAGACATACGTAACTATTTTCAAGTGAGTCCAGAGTACTTCTCCATGCTTCTAGTTGGAAAAGATGGAAATGTCAAGTCCTGGTATCCCTCTCCGATGTGGTCCATGGTGATTGTGTATGACTTAATTGATTCAATGCAACTTCGGAGACAGGAAATGGCCATTCAGCAGTCACTGGGGATGCGCTGTCCGGAAGATGAGTATGCTGGCTATGGTTACCATAGTTACCACCAAGGCTACCAGGATGGTTACCAGGATGACTACCGTCATCATGAGAGTTACCACCATGGATACCCTTACTGAACAGAAATATGTAACCTTAGCCCCAGCCAGTTTCCCCTGCAGCGAAAGCCCCATGGGGCCAGCTATGCACAGTTCTTCCACACTGCCTCCATTCTCTGCCTTTGTCTTTCAGTGTCCTTCCAAGATTAAATAAACAGCAAACTTTTGCCTACTCTTGAGTTGTTATTGAAGCCTTAAATCATAAAGACATTTAAAAATTTTATTTGTTTCTCTAACTGGAGAGAATCTGGTGCTAAATAATGGTACTGAAAATGGGTATTTTCCTTTCTTACATAATGAACATGTGGTATGCAAAATTATGTAATTATTTATACCTCTGTTTTTTCCTTTTTTCTTATTTTTTTTAAAATGCTTTACTGTTAAGTGAAAATCATGATTGCTAAAAGAATTATAGAGGATGGCACAAATGTTTTCAGGAAACATCTGAAAAGAACAGAGAACAGACAGCTTTCTTTACCCTTTGTGAAATGTCAATCTAAAAGTCATTAAGATAGCTTTGCTTTATGTGAATTTTCTTCATAAAACTTGCTACTACTGGAGTTCGGTAATATTGGCTAATGAATTCAGAGAAAGTCCCAGTTTTGTAATAGCCCCTTTCTGCCTGGTTTCTGTTATTTTTAGTGTCTTTTCTGAGATAGAGGAGGAGGGGTGAGAAAATCCTCACCAAAATCTGGCACTGCAGGGAGAGGCAGTACTTCCAGAGTTCTGGTAGGTTGCCATGGAATTCCCGGCATGGAAAGTCTTGGCTTTTTACATTTGACCCCCTGTACTTACTTCTGAGGAACCTATTACCATGTGGATATTTTGCTAAAAAAATAAATACAAGAGATTATATCCAGATATTTTTGTTTTCAAAGGCAAATGTTACCAAGTTAGTGGGTAACTAGAGTCAAAAAGTATTATCATTGTCTTTGATAAACAGCATTTATTTTTTACATACAGCTTATCAAAGTAAATATTTCCTTTTCCTCCCTATCCCTCTCTCCCATCCTACCTTCCTTCTCAGTTTTCTTTTTTTCAATAAATATTGATCAAGTGGTACTACCAATATGAGGAGCTTCAAAAGTTTATGGAAAATCTGTGTTTATGAAAAAAGCTCTGTATGAATTTAAATTTTTTCTCTGCCAAAATAAAATCTTAGTTATTTTTATAAGTTTATTTTCCTATGAGAGGGAGAGAGGAACTTCCCCCCGACTCTTCACCCCAGGATCCACCTTCAGTCTCACCTGGCATGGAACGTGGATGTGGCAATGTGGGAAGACACCCATATGCTCAGGAAGATTCTGGCATGTGAACAGGACCTTTTCCGTGTGGGTCCAGTTGCATAAACACTGCAGCATTGCCTGGCCCTCAACTCACACATCAATTCCATTTTTCCATAAACTTTTTGAGGTCCCCTCAGGGAGACAGTCAGATTCCCAAGTATTTAGCATCCTTATGACACCATCCTCTACCAATAATAGGATGCTTATTTTTCACAGGTCATTAATAGCTAATCCCCCAAAATTGTCTTGGTATTGGTTATAACACTAATGAGCACAGATATTAATAAATACATTCAGTCCACACGTGTGCCTGTTGCATGCATGAAGTTATCTTTATATTATCTGAACTTTGTTATAAGTAAATGACAGCAAAAGTGGGATTTGTATCTTAATAAACTTGAGAAATCACTTGGTCTGCTCCTCATTCTTCATAGAGACTTATTTTATAAGCAATTGAGGTCCAGAAAGTTCAAGTGACTTCATAACACAGTACTTGTGGTTTGTAAATGCTTCCCCCTCATCCCTCTGCTACGGCAGAGGCTTCCCTTTCTTTCTTGGTCAGTCTGTAACAGCTGCTTGAGGTGAGTAAGCAAGTGAACGAGGTAGATGAGTCTTACTCCTAAATTTTTGCCCAGGTGAAGCACAGCTCAAAATTGACAATAAAAATATATGTCTTTACCAATGTTTCTGAAATTGAAAAAAAAAAAAAGCATTTTCTTTAAAACAAAACAAAAAGTAAGAAAAAAATAGTTTTAAGAAAGGTTACAAAATCGGGAACCAGCAGTTGGCGCAAAGGCTATGTCGCTGGACTCCCACGTAGTCGACCACGGTTCGCGTCCTGGACCCGGTAGCTTAAAACTCACACCGGGCGCATGTGCATGTGTGCCCAAGATCCCGAGGGGAGAATGGAGGAGAAGGGATTGTGGCGTGACCATCCCCCCTGGGGGGTGATTTCTTGCTTTCTGTCTCTATGTCTCTCTCTGTCTGTCTGGCGAGTGCACACGCCCTACAGTGAAAACCTCTCCAAAAAAAAAAAGAAAGGTTACAAAATCAAGGTATGTAGAAAGAAAAGAAAACTACCTAGCAGAGTTGGGGAAACCTGGAAAACTGAGAATAACACAATTTTGGCAAAGTTGCTAGTGGTCACAATCCCTTTCATACATTTTTCTTTTTATTTTTCTGAGAAGTTTTTGCTATAGGGTGTATGCGCTTGCCAGAAAGACAGAGAGAAACAGAGAGACAGAAAGTGAGAAATCACCCCCTGGGGAAGATGGCCACACCACAATACCTTCTACTCCATTCTCCTCTTGGGATCTTGGGCACGCATGCACACATGCCTAGTGTGCATTTAAGACACCGGGTCCAGGACTCAAACCAAGGTCGACTACATGGGAGTCCAGGACATAGCCATTATGCCAAATGCTGGTCCCCCTTTCATACATTTTTGAGAACTGCTCTTCACCAGGGCTCTGAGGTGAATATTAATTCAGCAGACAGATTTTTTTCTCTTCCTATAAAGGCAGGAAGTCCAGACTCAGTGGAGTCAGTAGAGCTCAGCTGTTCTTATTTTCTGGAATATAGTTAATAATAAAACTCATCTCATCTTTACTTCTAGAACCCTTGAGGATAAAAACAGCTCAAGAGCAGGGTGAATGATGGTCTCAGAGGGCTCTGATTGCTGTCCTTCAGAACTTAAGGTGCAGAGATTCTAGAAATACAGAAACCTTTTGAAAATAATCTGTGTCCATTTCTTTGTTACCACTCATTCCCCTCTTCCTGCTGGACTGCTTTCCTTTGTTTTTTTCTCCTCCTTGGCTGCTCTGTGCTTCATGGTTTGGGTGTGCAGATAGTTGGGTATGGTTGGTGAGTGCTCTTCACTTTCCCTCTCCTCCATTCTCCTCCAGGATCTTGGGTACACACGGATACATGGCTAGCAGAGTTTCAAGTCACCGGGTCCAAGACTCCAACTGTAGTCGGCCATGTATGTGGTAATCCAGCAACGTAACTACTACACCATCTGCTAGCCCCTAATTTTGTACATGTTTTAAAGGATCCCAGAATCAAGATTAGGGTGGTGAGGGCAAAGGGCCAGTTGCAATAGATATCAATGGGTATCATTAAAAGGCCACTAAACCTGGGAAAACGGGGTGCTGGTGCTTGCCCTATCATGTACTTACCTGTAAGACCTGAGGTGAGGCACTTTACTGCTCTGCCCCTGGGCTTCAGTTTCTTATCCACAACTGAGAAACTTAGGACTCGATACCTAAGTTTCTGTCTAATTTTGTGACACTTATGAATATGTATTGTGCCATAAAAAAGAGAATGCTAAGTTTAGAAGCTTCCTATGATTGAATTCATGTCAAACTCTTTGAGAACCCAAACTTTACAAATCAGAATCCAGTTTGATCTTCATGGGATTGAGGAAAGGTATTAAATAATTTCACTGAACTTTTTCCAGCATAATGCATCCTGTAGTTGAGACTACGTGCATCCTGTCATTGAGACCAGATAGGGTCACTGCCACTAACACACAGACCCTCATCATTCTTTCTGGCATTCTGGAGCTTCCAGAGACTTTTAGGTTGGCGAGGACTATGAACGTTCCAAATATTTAAAGCATTTTAATACATCGTGTGCTCGATCTTCAACACAATTTCCTAATTTTGTGACCACATGTGAACTCCTGTCTGACATCTTGAAGCTTGGCCAAAATGGGTAGTCCTGATAAGACAGCATAAATTCTAAATAGCAATCTTTCCTTCTAGAAAGTAGAGGAATTGTCCTATATCCCCTGATACACATGCCAAAGGGACTAGGTGAAGAAGTGAGGTGATTTTTAAACAGCTAAGACTGAGTGTACGGAAATGT